TTTTTTTTTTTTTTGAAAGAGAGGAGAGTTATCTAGATGCAACATTTTATTATAGCCAAATTAACTACCTCTCATCGTACGTGAATTCAATGACATGTAGAGATGATGTACTGGACCGTGCTAAGACAATTAATTTGCAGACAATTGCAACCTTTGGTATACGCTACACGGTCTACACCCACCCATGCAGTAGCTCTTTCCACCTTGACCCTAGAAATTGCTTGGTACGAACCTAAAATCACAGGCTCACAATTCTATTTTCATTTAAAACTGAAAATACTGGGATTTAAATGACGGGTTTATGTAAATATTGTTTCATTCCTTGAGATATATGAACTAGTTTGGTTGAGTAATTTTGAATCTGAAACTTTGAAGGAAAGTTGCAAATCAAGATTTTTATTATTGATATTAGTAAAAGGAAAAAAGAAAGAAAGAAAAGCAGATAGAGAAGCAGTGGATTAAACAGTGAAGTGCAGCACTGAAGTTAAGTGAAATGGGGAAAGCAAGTTAAGCAACTAGTGGAGAGGATCCACTGGCTTTCGGCAAAATATTATAATTTGCAATGTTCCAATTCCTTCTTATCCAGAGCCAACAACTAGATAACAAAGGAAAGACGTTACTTTTGCCGCCCCCCCTTCCCCCTTTTCGGCCAGGTATATGCTCATCGTCTAGACTCCTCTTAAGTTTTATTCTCCTACTGAGCAGGATAACCTGGAATAGCATATTCCACTGGCAAAACCCCTTCTTAAGCTCTGAGATTTATTTTAAATTATAAGGTGAGCTTTTAAATTAAAAATAATATCAATAAACCTTTAAATTCCTCAAATCTAAAGTTATATATTAAAGTAAAATAAAAAAAAAATTTATATTCACACTATATATTCACGTTATATACTCACACTTATTCGGACATATGAAGTAAATAATTTCTTCTTTAAACCCTTAAATAAACTGAATCCAAACTAAATAAGAATCAGTTCAAACATTCATTTTCACAATACACCTAACTTTTTTTATTCAATTCAATTCAATTATTATTACATTACCAATTTTTCAAATTCCTATTAAAAATATTCATAACATCTTGTTTATATGGAATTGAGTTGGAAAAAAAAGTATCTTTGTGCCCTTCTTCTTTTTTTTCTTTTTTCTTTTTTAATTTTGCTAAAAATAGAGAAAAAAAATTATGTAGGCTTTGCACCAATTTACCAAAAGGTATGTAGAAAGCTCATTTTTTCCACTTCTCCCCACAAACTGAAACCCATCTTCTCTCCCTCATTGCTACCAAACCCCTTCCTCACCAAAACCCATGGGTGTCGAATCCATTGCATGCCAGATCTAACAAATCATCAAGTGTCGATCTTTATGAAATGGGGATATTTTTTGTTTCTTTCTTTCAATTACTTCTTTTTCTTTACAAATTGATATATACTTGGATTTGACAAACTAAAACCCCATCTTCTCTCCCTCATTATTGCCGAACCCCCTTCCTCACCAAAACCCATGGCCGTCGAACCCCTTGCATACTGAATCTAACAATTTTTGGTTTGGGCAAGTGACTAGAAATTCATATCTTATCCAAGGTGATTGAATACTATAAGAAGCATGTCGAGGCTCCCAAGTTTGACGATCATGCTGCTTCTATGGACGATGAGCTTAAGGCCTGGGATGTCGACTTTGTCAAGGTCCATCAAGCCATCATCTTTGATCTCATCCTTGTAAGTTTTGCTCTTCTTTTTTTTTTTTCCACTTAATCTATTTCAATTTTATTATAGTTTGTTGATTTCTTATGTTATATCCTTAATTTGTCTGGATGGATTGCTGCTCTTAAATAGATAGAACGGTTTGTGTATTCAATCTTTGCAATTTGTAGGCCGCAAACTACTTGAATATCAAGAGCTTGCTATACCTGACTTGCCAAATAGTTGTAAATATGATGAAAGGCAAAACACTAGAGGAAATCTTTATTAAATGATTGCAGTATTTTGTTTTTATTTTTTTACATAGTTAACTTGAAAATGGTAAATATGTGATGCATGAAAAAATTATTTCTAATCATCAAATGATGATGCTTTTGCTATTTTTCATTAAATCGAAATACTCATATTTATTATTGAATTTTTTTTATATTTTAATATTTAATCTGATACATTCTACTATTTATTGTCTGTTATATTTCTAAAATTTTTTATTTATTACATACCAATAAAACTATTAGTTTGCCCTATTCTATTATCAAAACCTCACTTATGTCTTATATTTTCAATTGTGGAAAATTTACATTCATTTATTGATTTTAAATTCTGTAAATTTTATTTTTTCAATTTTTTTAATAATTTATCTAATAAATATTGATCATTTAAAAGGTCTTTCTGCATGCATATTAAAATGTTACGCTAGTCTCTCTTTTTCTTTTTTTTTAGTATCATAAAAAACATAAAGATCCTAGGTGCCAAACAGCCAACCACCAAAAAGTTCCAACCAAACCTCGATTAATTATCATCAATATTTTTCATTTCTTTCCTAAGAGCCAAACAGCCAACCACCAAAATGTTCCAGCCGAAAACTTTAATTACACTAGAAAATTAAGAGAACGAGGGTGAAACAGAGCATCACATATTGGACCAACATGAATTCCATAAAGGAAATTCAAAGAACAAGTAAGAAAAAAATTAAAATTGAAGATTAGATCTACTTGGCAACTTCCAAAATTGATTAACAAGTTCTGATATTTAAAAAAATCAAATTTCAAATTCAAACAACCAAAACCCAATTGATATCCCTGGGTTGTAGCGGAGAGGGGGACATTGGAAAAGGCATGAGGAGGAATGAAAAGGGGGAAAAGAAGAAGGACGAAGAAGATGAAGAAGGGTTGTAGCGAAGGCACCAGAAAGCAAGATCTAAAGACTTATTCGAAGGACATAAAGAGAGCAATATGGCCGGAGAAGAAGCAGCTGATGGATTGCGAACAAAAGAAGCAGCGTCTGTGGTTAGGCTTTGTTTCGGTATAATTCTGATGATTTAAGTTGTGACTGAGTTAGTTGTAAATATGTGAAGACAGAGTAAACGTGCAGGTAAGGATTTGAATTTTGTAATTTTTTTTATATAAGGGTGTAAACTTTATGAATTTTTAAATAAGGTAGTTAATTTTTAATTTTTTTTAATTAATGATGTCAATTTTGAGTTTTTTTTATTTAAAGATTAATGGATGGAGATGCTGACGTAATAAATAAATTTTAAATGGATGTTTTAAACGGAATGTTGATGTGTGTAGGTATATTTTTAATTTGCTGATTGGACCAAAAAATTAAGAAAAGAAAACAAATCAGATCAAGTTGTATTTCCTCTCAAAATTGCTCATCTCTCATTTTTTTTCTACGCTACTGCTCTCTCTTCTTCTTCTTCTTCTTTCTTTTCTTCTCAAATCACAAATGAAAAACAAATCTTTCTCTTTTCTTTTTTTTTTTTCTGCGCCGCTACTCTCTCTTCTTCTTCTTCTTCTTCTTCTTCTCTATTTTCATCTCAAATCACGAATGAAAAACAGATCTTTTTGAGTATTTATTTTCTACGTCGCTGCTCTCTTCTTCTTCTTCTTCTTCTTCTTCTTTTTCATCTCAAATCACGAATGAAAAACAGATCTTTTTGAGTATTTATTTTCTACGTCGCTGCTCTCTTCTTCTTCTTCTTCTTCTATTTCATCTCAAATCACGAATGAAAAACAGATCTTTTTGAGTATTTATTTTCTA